CGACGCAGGAGTTTCCACCTGGGGTGGAGGGAGTCCTTGATGGGGAAGAAAGGAGGATGTGGGCGAGGGTACGCAGGCAGGGGTGGTAGGAAGCGTCACTCCCATGAAATAGCTGCCTCTGTGGGCCTCCCTCTCCTGGCCCAGGTGACCAAGAAAATCCTGGAAAGCCAGTGGGCATGAGGGAAGGAAGACACTGAACATTTGCTCTAGAAAAGCCTGGAGGGGAAAGGGGAATGTGTCTAAGCCCAGCTTTCCCCAGCTGAGGGGGTGTGTATGGGGTGGGGGCTGAGCGGGGGGCTGCTGTTAAGTTGGAGCTCTGTCACTGTGGTGGGGTAGGGAGAAGCCCAGGCCTCGGGGCCCGGCAGCCAGAGAGGGGGAAAGGCGAGAGGCAAGAGGAATCCACAGCTGGCCACCACCTGGGGCCGAGCTGCCCCTCCCCAGTACTGCCAGAGATACTCCAGCTCAGCCCTGGGGCTCCTGGGCACTGAGGTCAGGGAACCAGATGGGGGGAGGAGGTGACAGACTCTTCTTCACCGACCCCTCTCAGTGAAGACACTTTCCTTGCTCACACTGTTCTCCTTTTGTTTTCTTCTTGCCCCATCCTGTCTTCCACCAGCCTTGGGAAAATAAACCCACCTTGATGTGGCCCTGACCAAGTGCCCGTGAGTGAGTGAGTGAGTGTGTGTGTGTGTGTGTGTGTGTGTGTGTGTGTGTAGGGGGCGGGGAGGGCCAGCGTCAGCTTTCCTCTCTCCAGGCTCCTCAGCTTATCCTCCCCTGGCCCCTCCCCTGACCCCTCCCCTGTATGTAGCTCCGGCCTACTCAGGGACGCGCTGGCCCAAGCCGCCTCCGGGACACACACCCAGCACCTCTCCCTCACACCACACCCCTCCTCCAACACTCCAGCAACCCCCTCTGGAATCTTCTCTCCACTCCTAGTCACACACACACACTGCCCCGGGTAAACAACCTTCGTCCAACCAGGCCCAACCCTCTCCCTCTGGGCTCCCAGGCTGCCGGCTGAGGAATGCAGCAGCTGGGAGGCTGACTGGGGCTGCCTGGGGCTGCCTGCGCCTTGCCCAGGGGTCTTTGGATCCCTGGCTAGCACCCCACAGGGGAAGGCAGCCTAGGAATTCCGGAAAGCCATTCCCTCTCTGAGCCTTGGATTTTCCATCTGTAAAGTGGGGACAATCATTCCTCTGGCCTTTCCTGAGCTGTTCGGGATCAAAGAGAAGGGGGCTAAAATCTTTGGCAAAACCCCGCCCCCACCCCCACCAGGGACAGGAGAGTCTGCTCTTTCTGAAAACCATCCCTTCCTAGAATCTGTTCTCGCCTTGCTTCCTTGTTGAAGGCGCTGGCGAGGCCTGGGTGTGGCAGGGCAGAAATGAAAGTTGTCCAGGCAACACACAGGGCTCGTCAACATTTCCATCCCAGCGGCTCAGAGGCCCGAGCCCTTCTCTTAACCAGTGTGGCCTGTCAAGATGAGCCTTCCTGGAATGGAAGCTAGGTTGCGGGCCAGGCCTCCGCCCCTCCCCATGCACGGTGACAGAGCAACCCGGGCTCATTGGTGAGGTGGCTGACTTCCCCCTCCACCACCCCCCTGAACTCAGCAACCAGCAAGGACTCTGGAAGGGCGACGGAAGTGAGACAGGGTCTGGGGAAGGGTGGGTCTGAGGGAGGGTTTGCGGGAGCTCAGTTCAGAGCCCAATACTGGGGCGCATGGGGGGGGGTCCGCATTATCCCGATCTTGCAGACAGGTGAGGGCTCACCTCAGCGGGGACGGAGCACACAGGTGGTTCGGCAAAGGAGCGGGAGGTACAGACGCACAGTGAGCGCCAAGGAAGCCAGGCCACCAGCTCTGCTAAGGACTGATTTGCTGCCCACCCTCGCCTCTTGGGCTTTTTTTCCATTAGGAGAAGACTTCCCTTGGGGCGCCTGGGTGGCTCAGCCGGCTAAGTATCCCACTCGTGATTTTGGCTCAGGTCAGGATCTCAGGGTTGTGGGAGCCAGCCCTGCATTCAGGTCCCCGCTCAACGTGGAGTCTGCTTGTCCCTCTCCCTCTGCCCCTCCTACTCGCGCGTGCGCACGCACTCTCAAATAAATAAAACCTTAAAAAAAAAGAGAGAGAGAAAACTTCTCTTGAGTGCTTACTTGTAAGTGCCCTTTCAGGAGGTTAGGGGGCAAAAGTGATGACTAACCTCCTGCCCAACCACTGGCTTCCAGGTACGGGGGGTGGGGTGGGGGCTGTCAAGAACAAGGAGACACAAGCCGTCCAGACCTCATCCAGCACTATGGGGGGAGGACAGGGAGAATGCAGGGAGCCTGGGAACAAACCCTGAAGGAACCCCTCCTGATATCATGCCCTGTCTCCTCCAGGGACACCCCCAGGCCCTCACAGCAATCTGGCATCTGAAGTCAAGTTCTGGCCGAACCCGGTGGTTCCTGAGCCCCACTCCACCCCTGCCTCCTCCTCTATAAAACCTTCAGGGCAGTCTGATTGTTCCCGGACACACAGAGCGGAATTCAGACATCCTGGAGGCCTTGGTGGTTTCCCAATACAGAGGTCTGCAGGCCTCCCAGGCTTGGGGCAGGGCAGGGACTGGGACCCCCGTCCCAAACCTCTCGGGGACACATATGCTCTGATTCTCAGAGCAGCCCTAGTGAAATCAGTCCTAGCCACTCCCATTTGAGCTCATGAAAATCATTTAATTTCTTTGTGAAAAATAAGAAGACGTCAAAGAACAAATTAGGGAAATGACGAGGTGGAAGGCTGAACCTACTTTCGCTGTTCTCAGGGGGCACAGGGGTGCTGGCAGTGGTTTTCATCTGTCACCTGCCTCCCCGAGCGGCAGCTGGCCTGAGCGCGTAATGAAATGGGACCTGGTCCTCGGGGCACCCTGGCTGAGGGGTCCCACTTAGTGGCCGCCGCCTCGGTTCCACAGGGCGTTCTCCTGCCGCAGGCGCTGGTTCTCGGTCCGGAGCCTCTCGACCTCAGCAGTCAGCTCCTCCGCCCGGCGGCGGGGCTGCCGGCCGACGCACGCCCGCAGCTGCTGCAGCCTCCGGGTCTCCTCCTCCGCCTGCGAGAGCCGCCTCTCCAGGTCCAGGTAGTCCCGGACCAGCTCCTGCTTGCTGCGGCCCTGCAGGCTCTCGGTGTGGTAGCGCTCGTAGGCCTCGGAGAAATCCCTCTGCTGGAACTCGCCGTGAGCCCGGCAGCGCCCGTCGCCCTCTCCGGCGTCGCTGTCCCCGCTGGAGCCCGGGGGGGAGGCCCCGTGGGGCACTTCCAGGTTGGGCTCCTCAGGGGCGCGGTCGTTCATCAGAAACTGGGTGGTGTTGTAGGGCGCCACGGGCTGGCCTTTGGCAAACATCTCCTCGCGGACCCGGGAGGCCCTCCGGCTCTGCCGCTCATCCCGCTGCTGCTTCTCAGCCCAGCTCAGCTCCAGGTAGGGCCGCCAGTGGCGTTTGCGCTTGGAAGGCCTCCTGCGGGGCTTCTTCCGGCCCAACGTGGCTTCGGCCGAGCTGCCCCCTGGGTGTTGGGCCGAGCTGCCCCCTGGGCTCTGCGCCCGGGAGCCCCTACCGCTCCAGCCCAGGCCACTGCCAGCCCCAGTCGGATCTTCTTCCTCTGAGTGGCACTCTCTCCGGGGTGTCAGGGGCAGAGAACTACCAGGGTCATGAGGCTCGGGGGCTGTTTGGGGGCTCCCAGGAGCACCAGGGGTCTAAACAGAGAGGACAAGGAAGAGTGAATCACAGCCAGCCTGTCCCTGGTGCTGGAACCCTTCTGCAACCAGCCGGCCTGAGGCTGACCTTCCCACAGTTGACACTGGGTCCCTCTCTAGCCTCTCACCCTCTGCCACTATTTGTTGGTTGATGGGCTCCTGTCTGCCGCCCCCCTCCCCCCCACCAACGCTTCCCAAGTAAACTCATGAAAACAGCAGGAATTCTGCCTGTGTATTTCACTCCGGAATTTCAGTGCCTCCAACAGTCGCTGTCCAGTGCCTCGCAGAGCACGCGTGCAATAAATACTGTTTGGATGAAGGCGGCTAAAGAGGACACAGGATGGGAAGTGGCTCCTGCTGTGTTTCCTTGATCAGCCCTCTTCCTAGAAAGACTGTCTTTTCCACAGAGTTGCCTTCGTGGGTAAGCAACCTCAGAGCCCCTCACCCCCACTCTGTTCGGAAAGGCCCCACGCTTTGCTTTATGCTCTGCTGTTCTTGTCTTGAACTTCTAAACAATTTTTGAAAAAAGAACCCTTTGCACCGAGGCCTACAAATTATGTTGCCGATCTTGCTTCCAGCTATTTGCATAGCTGACTCCTTAGGGCTTGGTGCCAATGTCACCTCTTCAGAGGTCCCCCCCAACCCTATCTAAAGATCCCCCCATCTCCCCTTCCCAGTGACACCATCACTGTGTGACCCAGTTAACATCCCGCGTAGCATCTACCACAATACCATTTACCATCTGTCTTCTTCCTATAAGAATGTGTCTTGTCTGTCCGGTCCACCACTATGTCCCTCTGCATGGCCCAAGGTAAGTGCTCAATAAACAGGCTAAATGACATAAAGCCCATAAGAGAGGGGGATTCAAAAGACACCGAGACCAAAAAAAACCAAACAGACACTGAGACATGAGACGCTCCTTTCTGTTGGTCTAGAGTCAAGAAGATGGGAGTGTATTTATTCCAGGCAGAAGTTGGTATCCTTCTTTGACATGAGCACCAGGAAAGAGGCCCTTGCTAGGGAGAGGAAGGGTGAACCTCCAGTCTGCAGCTGAGAGCATTCTAGAACTTATCTAAGAGGTGGAAAGGATTCTGTCAAGATAGTGTGTGTGCAGAGCATCTGTTTATCTCCGTCGTGGTGAGGGTGGGAGCACTCAGTGTGGGGGATGGGGAATGAATTGCTCTATGCCTGTGGTTTGGGGAACTCTAATAATAACTGCTACCATTGGCATGTTGCTTACAATGCACACCACGGTTCAGAGATACCCGAGCACAGGCCCGTACACTGGGGGTGTATGCAGCCCTATAGGAGCTGGAGGTGTGTCGTGTGTGTTTTGGAGGCCCTGAGGTTCTCATCTTCATCTGGGATGGCGTATGTCAGAGTGTGTACGGAGTATGTGTGTGTGTTTGTTTGTTATGTTGTACTGTTACTTCACCTGCAGGGAGATCGTCAATCGGGAACAGGCCTTGTCTCAAGCCAACTGAGACAGAGCTTCTGCCCCACCCCAGAAGAGGCAAGGCCCCTGGCAGTGCCGAGACAAGGCGGCTTGTGTGTGCACAATCATTCACCTGCCCCCAGCCCTCAGCATGTGTCCCCTCATGATCTTTCCCCTCACCCAAACCATCCCTGCCCCTCAGCCCCACATGCTGCCTCCCTCCTGAAGGCTTGTCCCTTTACCACCATTCCCACTACTGCAGATAAGCTGTGTGATCTGGGTGAGTCATCTGCCCTCTATGAACTTCTAACCCTGACATGTCATGAACTCCAAATTAACTCCAGAAAACACTGCAAGTGGCTAGGTAGTGTAGGTTAGAGGAGCTGAGTCCCCTCCTCACCTACAGGGACCTGTCAACTCGGGGAGAATAGGCAAGGTGGGTGCAGCAAGAGAGAGCATGGGCAGAGAAAGTCTGGGTTCCTGTTGCCAGATCAGAAGGTTTCCTGAGAGCCTGACACAATCTGTCTCTCCCTCTCTCCTGGATGCTCTGTGAACCCCAACCCCCATCCTAAATTATGAACCAACTGCTCAAACTCTTTTCCCTGTGTCAGACTTGGTTCCCAGCCTTGACAAAATGCAAGGCAGGGTTCTGGTGTCAGAAGGCCCTAAGTTTAAACCGTGGATCTTTTGTTTGCTGACTGCATGAATCTAGAAAAGGTATTTCAGCTCTGATAACCTGAGCTTCTTCGAAATGCAAACAATAATTCCTACCTTGAAGGGCTGCTAGGATTTCAGGAGATAGCACAGATTTGGCATCCTGGCATAAGGACTCGGTTAGACATACTGGTTTTCAGATCTGCCAACACACCTGCGACAAGCGGCCAGGATCCCAGTTAGCAGGATCCGTGTGGGGGCACTCAGGTGGTTGGGAAGGTGGGGCTTACCTTGGCCTCCTCCAGGGCTGCTGGTGACTCTGTATTACAGTTGGTCTGGTTCAGAGTAGCCACCTTCTTCTGCTCCAAATCTTTCAGCAGATGCTTCTAACTAATGACACCTGCCTTAAATAACAGAGAGCTAAGTCTTAAAGGAGAATTTTCAGGAAGACTGGCTGCCCAGGAATTTTTCAGCAGCAGCCATTTTGAGCATCAGACCTGCACATCGTCATTATCAAACGAAGGTGCTGAAGCCTCCACACCCTGGTTTTCACACCTCCAGCCAGCAAGGGGCCATCCTCCCAGTCCTGTCCCTCAGGCCCCAGGCCAAGGCTTACATCCTAGGCTGTCCTTCTGGAAGTCACTGAGGCCCAGGCTGGCAGCTAGGAAGCTAGTCCTGGGCTTTGTTCCCCCAGCAACCAAAGGGGGAAAGGTCTTGGCCCAGGGGGGCGAAGATACAGCAGTGACCTAGAGAGGCTGGCGGTGGAGTGGGTCAGCGGCTGGAACAAGAAAATACGGAGCAGGCTTTCCAAGGGGTCCTTTCCTCACTGCCTCCAGAGGCCCCAGTCGTGACAGCACCCCACCCCCAGCCCCCTCGACAGCACCCCACCCCCAGCCCCCTCAGGCGGGGCTCGCAAACTCAGCACCTCGAGAAACACAGATGTGGCCTGGGCCGAGCCCAGGGCTGAAGCCTTATCATCTCCTGGGCCTGGCCTGCCTCCCCCTCTCCTTCCTCTCAGGACGGGAAACAGAGGAAAGGGGAAGAAGTCTTCACGCTAAATGCCCCTGAAAGGGTAGCCCAACTGGAATAAGGATGGATTCCTTGGAAGAGGGGAAGTGGTCCGAGAAAGGAGATTTTGCAAAGGCAGAACTGACCTATTTGCTGTCAAGGACTATGCACACGACTATATCTGTGTGTCTTTCTGTGCGACCGACCGCCTGTCTGTGCCGTTCCCAGGGCCTCAGCCCTACCTCTCAGGGCAGATACAGCAGCTCTGGTCAAGCCGCTCAGGCACTAAGGGCGGGAGGAGGGGACAACCTGGCAGCGCGGCGCCTGCTGGGGATTGTAGTTCTTCTAGTTTGGAAAGCCGGGTGAAGAGCCTGTCACGTCTACAGGCAGACCGAGAACTCCAAAACCCATCTGCCCTTGCGCGAGTGGCGGCCCGCGCTCACCGATGCCTTCTTTGATTGGTCAAACTGCCTGCCAGTATTTTCACTTTCGTCAACGATTCACTTTCAACAACGGAAGCACAACAGAACCCGCCTTCCGAGATCAATTGAAGAGTTCATTGATGGCGTTAATCTTTACGGGTCAGAAAATAGATCCGGCCGAGAGGGGCGGGGCTGTGGGTGCGGAGGGATCCTCGGCCCTAGAGAAAGGCGACGAGAAGGATCGGTGGCCGCCGCCGCCATTTTGGGCTGGGAGGAGGCAGCGGAGGGACTCGCTGCGCAGTGAGAGCACCCCATGGGGGGTGGTCCGGGCGCGGGGAGAGGCCGGGCCGAGTGGGCTGCCTGAAGTGGTAGCGCTGGGAGACGGCGGGGAGTGGGACCGGGGGCCGGGGGGGTGAAGGTCTTCCCGGCCGGGCCCGGTCCTCAAACCGTCCCGGCAGCCCCGCAGCCTCACCTCTCACAGAGGGCGGGGTTTTGGGCAATTACCGCGTGTTCCCCGAGACCCCAGTTGGGGAGAGACTGGGTGAAACGACTCCCCTCTGCCCTTTCACGGGGGGCGCAGATCCTGAGGCCGAGCTTTGCCAACTTCTTTCCCCACCCCCATGCGGCCTGGGTATGGCGGCGGGGCCCAGCGTTGCGGTGCCCCCGCTTTGACGGGCGAGGTGGGGGCGACGCCAGATTCCAAAGACTGGCGCTGCGGGGGAGGGCGGAGGTCCCAGCTCTGGCCGCGCGTCCTTCAGGCGTGGCAGGCAGCTGGAGGCCCCGAGGGCGGAGAGCCGGGTGAACCCACCATCTTCCCCCATACACCAAAGCCATCCCGCGGCCCGGGCTTCGAGAAGGACCAGCCTTCTTCCTACAGTAACAACCACTAATTCCCCCGGAACTAGGTAGATAAGAGGCTCGTGGAAACCTTCACGAACCCAGTGCTTGGAAATCTCTGAGTGCTCTGGGCCTCAAGATTTCTTTCCGGCCCCATTCTCGGAACGACCTGACCTTGCACGTCCCCAGCCAGTTTGGGAAACTCCAAAAATGTGCTGTTGCACTTCTCTTGAAAGTTTACACCAAAGAGGGGTTGAGTTTTTGCCCTTTACAGGGTTGGGGGACACAAAATAATCGAGTGGCCGTGGCTCTGGGAATAAAAGTGGAGTGGCCCATTTCGGATGCTTCAGGAACATCTGTTTGCGTTTTGAAATCTGAGCCATGACTTTTACCAAAACTTTTGGAGAAATGGCGGCCCTCCTAGGGGAAAAAAACGAACTAATTCCAACGTAATCTTTATAAGACCACAAATTCTTTCCAGTTTAAAGAACGTTTCTCCCACAAACTAAACAAAATGGGGAGTATTTTGCCACTGGTGCATTGTTACTACGGAACCTCTCGTTTGAATTCCCAAGCAATTGAAAAATCACTTCTGTGGATCCCAGATGCTCCCAAGATAGAAATTGCAGTTTTGAGCTACTTCATATTTGTAGCGTTTGGGGGGGTGGGGGAGACCTGCTTTCAAAAAAATAAACACTCGACCTTATATTACAGCTATATAGCAGCTTAAGGATTGAAGTTTGATGTGAAATTATTTTCTTGAATTACAGATTAGACCATCTTGTTTTCTACTGCTCAAAATCCAACTTCAGAGAGATTTACATACAGTTCAGGGATATCTTAATTATTTTGTTGCTAAAATGTCAGTTAAAATTATGCTTAGGTAGACTCTAAAGTATGAGAGTGACTGGTTAGTCAACTTTACCTTTGAGGGTACCTTGTGATGAATCTCACTGCCAGTCACACGTGGTCACATCATTCCTGAGCCTTTGGCTTTATTAGCAAGAACCTTGAAAGGTTTTTGAGAACCGAAGCCGCCCTCCTATTAATAATTTTTTTTGTAAGTTGTAAATGACAATTCCATAGCCTTATCTATATTCTCCCCCTACTCTCCAGATGTTCTCAGAAAAAGTCTTAACAACTGGATTGCGAAAATATGATCACTTGACTCGATTTCTTAAGCCAAAATTTGAAACACTAAATGCAGTACACTTGATTCATACTGTAGGTTGACTTTTGGCTTATGTCATGTGAATTTTACAGTTCTTCAAGAGAAGATGGGAGTTAGGAGAAGCTAACATTAACTTGGTAGGAGTTAAGGTCTTAGGAGCCGAAAGGGGCTTTAAAGATTATCCTTGTGGTTCTTCTGTCAATTTAATGGAGGAGGATCCCCGACTCTTGTGATTCATCCTCCATTGTGAAGTAATGTAGTTAAACCTTTGGATGCTACTAGGTGGAGAATACTGTGCCAGATGCAGAACTGTGTTACTCATAAAGATGAAAGGTTACCATCTTTAAGGTTGAACCACAAGCTTTTCCATTCCTTGATAAAGCTGGGAATAAACCCAGTTTATAAATGCTCTCTTGGTTATCTTCTGAGCAAAACACAGGACTGGAAGTTAGGAACTCCCAAGTTCTATTTCTTTGTGTGCTACCACTGACTTGATTGGCTTGGCCAGGGGCCAAATCCTGAAGATGAGTCCAAACTGGTCATTTTGTTGCTGAGTCTGTTGTTCATCTAATGTTCAACCAGACCTTCAGCTTCCTCCTCAGCTATCCCCTTTCAGATGAGTTCCTTCGGGGTTTATGACAAAGTCTACAAACCCTATATGCCTCAGTTTCCTGATTTGAAAATAATGCCAATGCTACCTCCCACATACCTTGAGGATTAGCTACTCTTCAGTAAACATTTATTTACCAAAACTTTGTTATTTGGGAATCTAGAACTTCTGCTTCAGAGGTTATTTGGGGCATTTGGGAGGCCTGCCTTACTGAAATGCGGCCTTGGTTGCTCTTGGCAGCACAAAGGGTGGCCATCCAACTAGGCTGAACAAGGGTCAGTTTCTTAGGGTACCAAGCAGTTGTTGTTAGGAAGTCCTGGATATTTGACCCTGACGGCCAACTCCTGGGGCCTGGTGGCTCTGTGAGAGCAGGATTCATTGACGAGTAGGACTGATTCTTTGCAGCAGTCCTTTCCAGGATGAAGATCCTTGCTTCTGATTTGATTTCCGTAATTAACCTTTTTTGTGTGTGTGTGTCTATCTCTCACCATCTTCCTCTTTGAATTTTCTCCTTTTAAATTGCTCACGTGTTTGCTGTTTTAAGTACACTTTTAGGAGTAACTAGAGAGGAAGGTAGAACGAACCGCTTAGACATTGCTTTCCATCCTCCAGTTCGGTTTCCTGCCTTTGCCTAACAGTTGTGCTGGAGTTACCCAGGTCTTCAGAATGCTGTGTTTAACACAGGCTTCAGACTTCAAATTAATCTCCTCCTCTGACCCTCTGGAGGCTAGCACAAGTTCTACTGAGTATCTCACAAGAGCAGTGATGCTATCATTTTCTCAACTATGCTTGTGCATGGGGCACTCGAGTTCCCACATTTTCCTTCAGGAATAACCTTTTTGCTCACTGCAAACCCAGGGCTTTTAACACTTCGCACAAAGTCAGTGGATGTGTGAAATGGAATATGAAGAATGAGAGTATGATTTCCTTCTGAATTTTTGCTCTTGAAAAAACTTTTAAGCCAAATGTAACTGCTCTTGGTGCTGTGTTGAGAGATCACACTAGCAATTTCAAGAACTTACCAACAGTTTCCTATAGCAGCTCAGCCATTTGAAAGAATTTTGTTGGTGTGCAGAGGTTTATTAGTAAACTACTAGGATTGTTCCTGCCCTTGAGCTTGTTGATACATCATTTGTCATAACTGAACCACCTCTAAGTAAAACCCAAGAAAAAGTTTATTCAGGAGGATTTGTGAGAGCTTAAATACTGATCTGTCTAAACTTAGCCTTTGTTTTTTTCAACAAGAAGGAGAATGAGGTGGTAAGCTTTCCAGTATTCAAAGACAGCTGGCTCAAGATTGAATCTTTGCCTCCTAGACTGTATATTCTGTCCCACTTGGGAAGTATGACTGTTACCCTTTGGTCAGCAGATCCCACTGTGTTCAGGGCCTGAATTTGACATTTTCTTTACTTTAAAAATTACTTCTCATTTTTAGCATCAACTAACCACACCTTATGTGAGAAATAATAGTAAAGTGGAATTTTATCCCAATGTTCTTGTCAAATTTGAAAAATAATTTCAAAAAACAAACCTCACAAACTCATGTGTACTTAGGTACCAGTCCTGTCTCAGCTCTAGCCAGTTTTGCCATTGCAATGATGTGAATATTTGTTGCTAGCTGTTCTGGGTGTAAGTGGCCAGGGAGAATCCTGTGGTGCATTACCTGATGTTTAACTAAATATAGCCAGCTCTTGATTTTCTGAAGGTAAACTGTTCGGTTGTAGTTTTGTTTTTTGGATTTTTTTCCCCCCTATGGATTCCCTCTTGAATTTTTTTTTTTCTATAACTTTTGAAGTCATTAGGGTAAAGTATATTTATTTACATTTTCCCAAGCAAAGGATTTTAATTTTACTCTGGATGAAGGGAAAATTAAAATACCAATCAAATGGGCAACTGCTTTGGTCTTAAAAAGAAACAATAAGGGGCTGGCTGAGTTGGTGGAGCTGGTGACTCTGATCTCGGGGTTGTGGGTTTGAGCCCCACATTGGGCGTGGAGATTACTAAAAAAAAAAAAGAGAAAAAACAATAGTAGTTATATCAATGGTAGCTTACTTCTGTATGACACATTTTCATGCTATCTTGTTTAATGCTGATAGCTGTTTTGTAAAGTTGGCACAGCCCCATTTTGGTGATGAAGAATGAGGCTCAGTTGTTTCCAGAGTCACACTGCTAGGAGTATATGTTAAAGATATGACTAGGACCCTGGTTTTTTGACTCCTAAACTAGCCTAATTTTTATGTTTTCTCTCTTTAGAGATACCCAGTCCATTTATTTTATTTGACAGAGCACACAAGCAGGGGGAGTGGGAGGGAGAGGGAGAAGCAGGCTCCCCATGGAGCATCCCAGGACCCTGGGATCATGACCTGAGGCAGACACTTGACTGAGCCACCCAGGAGCCCCCCCTGGTCTATTTTTCCTGAATTAAACCAATTTGGGCCTCCCTGGCTTTCCCCAAAACTGAGATCTAAAGGTCCCATCTCCCAAGGGCCACTTTATATTCTAGGCTAGCCTCCCAAAAGTTTTTCTTGCTCAGAGGAGGATTAAGCTTTCCAGCCATCTGTCTCAAAGTTTAGGAAGCACTTTGCCCTGGCTGGATACCCAGGCGCCCTATGATGAGAAAGGAAACAAACTGAAATTGCCAGTGTGTAAGCATGGTCTTTTGAGCAGCTCAGTTAAAATGTCTGGCAGAGAGGACTTTAGTGAAAGGCTAGAGATCCTCAAGTGATTGGAAGATCATTTGTTATCACAACCCACCCCCATTAATATAAGTAATTCAGTCTTTTTCTCTGTCCTGAGAGCAGTGTACTACTCAAGTGTTTTAATGTAGAAAGTGTTGATAGAAAACTGAAATTTCACACAAATCTCATCATTCTAAGAACATAAATGCAATACATACTATAAAGTGCCTTTGGAAACAAAGTTCAGGTAGTTGCATATCTCAAGGTAAATCAGAGTCATTTGTGAGTAAATTAACTATTTGTGTATTTTTAAAGACTAAACTGAATTTGTCTCCTAAGAGTAAAACATACTTTTTTTTTTTTTTCTGATGATAAATGTACTTATAGAGTGTTCCTAAGACTGATAGTGGGGGAAACAAGATCATTAACTTAAATCCATCTTACTAAGTTCTACAATCTGAGGTTACCACTGCTGCATCCCATAGTGCAGTCAAAATGAGGCTTCTCGGTATATAAAGCCAGAGGGCAGTGTTGCTGCCATTCCACCAAGCAGCCGTGTTTCTGGGACTACTGCATGACGTCATAGCAGAAGGAAAATTAAAAACACGAAGAAAACTATTTCAAAATAGACATTTAATGTAATTTTTATTTTTTTTTAAAGATTTTATTTATTTGACAGAGACAGCGAGATAGGGAACACAAGCAGGGGGAGTAGGAGAGGGAGAAGCAGGCCTCCTGCTGAACAGGGAGCCCGATGCGATGCAAGGCTTGATCCCAGGACCCTGGGATCATGACCTGAGCCGAAGGCAGACACTTAATGACTGAGCCACCCAGTCTCCCCTTAATGTAATTTTTAGGCCAAAAGAAAAACGGATCATACATTGTCTTCAGTGGACCATCTGTCAGAGTAGGACCAGCTTAGTCTACCTCTGAAGGCCCTGAGTCAGTTCTTGACCAGCATAATTCCCCTTGATTCATTGATTTGTGAATGCTTATGCATCATAAGGTGCATTTCACTCTTGAAGTTCCTGCCACCTCCACTATTCCATTTAGATACAAAAGCAAGCTTTACAATAGGAGTTTTGTGTCTCCCCCCCACTTTTCCTGCAGAGGTTTTTAACCTTCAAGGAGTTTGACAGTCTCATGGTTCTCTTGAACCCTCTCCCCAGAAAAATGTACATATAACACAAGTCTACATAAAACTTCATGGGGTTCATGAATCCCAAGGCCCCCTCTGGATTCTAAGGCCCCAAGTTTTAAGGAACCCCTGTATTAATGATTTGAGCAATGCATTTGCCCTAGAGAAACACACAGGGCAGGGGGAGATGGGTTGGATTAACCATGATGAGGAAGGGATGATTTTTTTTTTTTTTTAAGGAGATAGAAGTTTATTAAATACACCACAAGGGAATGGCAGGCAGGATAGCGAAGGAGAGATTGTCTGCCAACAATCATCATTTCTTACTATTTGATTTGGGGGTGGAAATTAATTCCCAGGGTCTCCCTGCATTTTCAAGAACAGAACTATTCCAGAGCCTAAGCCCCTATTAGGAGAGTGGGACTAGCAGCCGGCTGTACAGGGAATGAATGTACAGGGTTCCCACTCGGCCCATAAGGACTTAATTTAGCTCCTCTTCCAGAAGCTTTACATTTGATTTGCAGTGAGGGATGGGGGGGGGGGGGGTTCTAATTTTGGTTTGACCCTCATGAAAAGGTGGAGAGCTCCTACTCCTTTTTTTTTAGTATAGGGAGCACCTAAGTATTAGATAATTAGGGTAAGTCCTTGGAATGCCCCAAGCAACCATTTCCTCTACAAATCCAATATTCCCTACCTCTAAATGTCTTAACAAAGAACTGCCGCAAAGTTTATCCAACCATTGCTTACACTAAAAAAGCAAGGGGTTTACCAAGATCCCTTTTCAGACATCCAGGAACTTCTTCCAGCCTTATTGGGGAAGCGAAGGAATCACTAAAAACCTATTTGTAGAAATGAAATGAGACTGTCAGTTGTCTAACCTAACAAACTGCCAAATTAGGTTTACAGTTTTGTTAATAGACTTTCAAATGGCTGTTGAGAAGCAGAATTAAATTTTAAGCTTCTGACTGTAGCCACTTTCTGCTCCCCAAACACCCAACACTAGTTTCTTTCTCCAGCATCAAAAAAAGAAAACCAAGGCACTAGAAAGCGAGCACACTTAGGTATTGAAGATAATTAATCTTTATATTTTGCCTGAACTGTATATTTAGCACACTAAAACCCATTCAAGGGAGAAATCAGCAAATTGAAAATTGTCCCATTAAAGATTGTTTTTTGCAAACTGACCAACTTAATGATTTCTTTACCCCCCCAATGCAATCACTTAAAATAAATCACTATTTTGAATTAGCTCTAGAAATCACACTGAAACTATGTTACATTTACAAATATTAAATTTATTATAGCTAGAATGAATTTAATGGTTCTCAGATTTGGCCACCTTATAGCTCCGTTTAAGGAGGGGATTTTTTAACAGAAAAATGCATTATAACTTGGTCAAGTTACTTACACATTAAAAAAAAAAAAAAACTTCTAAAAAGAAAACAAGAAAAGCAACCCTTCAGTTTCACATAATTAAAGAACAGGAGAAAAGCACGCAAGCTACATCATAGCTAAATTTACCAAACCAACCAAAGCCGGGGGGATTTGCTCTTCTGATTATTGTCATAAAAAGGTCCACTGTCTTATATACACATGTGTATAATGTTACATTCCATCACTGTAAAAAGTCCCCTTTGCCCCCTCCCCCAAAAAAGTTTCAGTCTAGTCTCCAAACTTGGACAGCGGCGCTCGCTCCTGCTGCCGGTGCAGTTCGTTCTCCGTCAGCAGCTGGAGGTTCTCGGCGCGCAGCCGGTCCAGCTCTAGCTCCAGCTCCCGCACACGCGCGTCGTCGCCGCCCAGCCGCTTGCTTTCCAGCCGCAGCCGGTTATTCTCGTCCTCCATGCGCGAGAGGCACTTCTCCAGCTCCAAGTACTCCTTGATGAGTTCCTGCTTGCTCATGTTCTGCAGACTCTCCGCGTGGTACCGCTCGTAGGTCTCCGAGAAGTCCCGCTGCAGAAACTCGCTGCCGTCTCCTCCCATCCCGTCGCTGCCCCCATCCTCCTCGCCCGCTTCTTCCATGAAGTCCTCATCGCTGGTGTCGTCGGATTTGGCAGCGGCCCGCTTGGGGTAGAGACCGGTTTTGAGATCCGGCTCCTCTTGGTCGTGATCATCCATGAGGAACTGCGTGGTGTTATAGGGTGCGACAGGCTGGCCCTTGGCGAACATCTCAGCTCGAATCCTTGAAGCTCGCAGGCTCTGTTTCTCGTCGAACTTTTTCTTCTCCTCCCAAGTCAGCTTGTAGTACGGTTTCCAATGCCGCTTCTTCTTGGAGGGGCGTCTCCTATGTTTTTTCTTGCCCAGCTGTCTCTGCTGCTGTCCCCACGCCTCCTCGCCCCCTGCAGCAGGAGCCCCCAACTTGTTGGCCTCGGAATCATGACATGGCTGTGCGAGAGGCTCGGCCTCGGGCCTCGGTTCCCCCCCAGCCGCCGGCGAGGGGGCTCCGCCAGCGGACAAGTCGTCCCCATTCTGGCCCTTCTTGCTTGCTTGCGGGCAGCTAGGTTCTGGACAGACGGGGGTCTGCAGGAGAGGCGGCTGCGGCTCCAAGCTCCCTTCCCCCTCCTGCCCCGGACGGCCACCCGACTGGGGGGACGCTCTCGATTGCCACCTACTGTCCTCCTCGGGCACCCGCTCCTCCGCGCCTGGGGGGCGATCGGGGTTCCGCTCATCATGAACAGCAACAGCACCTGTACAGTTGCTAGTTTGAGGCTGGTGCTGGTATTCTGACAAGAGTGGCTCGGCCATGACTAATAGAGTCCTCTTCTCGAAGTTTGAAAAATTTTGGCTGTAAGTCCTTAAAGAAAAAAGAGGTTTTTCTTTTCTTTTAAAAAATGTCCAGCAGAGTCCTCTTCGGTCTGTAATTCCTGCAGTGACGCCTTTAGCCAGTCCTTCTGTAAACAAACTCCAATTGCAACTTGGGAGAGCTCAAGTCAGTAAAGGGTTAAGTGCCCACAGCGCGGCCAGCTAGCGGGTCCAGGGGGTGCAGCAGCAGTAACAGTACGTAATGTGCAAAGGGGGTGGACCTCAAGCCTCCCCGCAGAGCGCCCCCACGATCGAGGAGTTGGTGGGCAAGGAGATGAGGTTAAAGTCCAACGGGTTAAACCCAGCCCCGAAGGGGTTAAAACTACCCGATGACGCTGCCTCCGAGGGGCCGAATCCACAAAGGGTTAAATCCCCTGCCGCAGCGCCCACAAGGGGTTAAAGTCCCAGAGCCACCTCCTCCCACTTCCACGGGTGTCGCTCCAACCCGAGCTCCCAGTTCCCTAGGCCCGGCCGGAGCCTCAGCCGAGGACAGACAAACTCATCTCCCCTTTGGCTCGATGCTCGGCTCAGCTCAGATCTCCACCGCCTCCTCCTCTTTTCCCCCCTCCCTCCTCCCCCTTCCGACAGCAACTCTTCCGCCTCCTCCCCCGACTTCCCCTCCCAACCTGCCTCTCCACCTGCCAACTTCCAACTGCTGCCTCCCAGCCCTCTGCGCCCCTTTTATATAGAAGCCTGTCCGCCCCGCCCATGCGCATGCGTAACGGGGTCCCCGTCTCAGGAAGCTGGGAGTCGTAGTTCCCATCCTTCAGGCCCGCCGTCCTCGCGCGCCGTGCGACGTAGCCAATCCAAGAACGCGTAGGGGGCGACTTCCAGGCCGCCTCCTTCCATCGCACAGCCCTCGCTAGAGAAACGTGAGTGACCATTGGCCAGGAGTCACACGTCTCGCCGAAGAAGGAAAGCCAATCGCAGAGAAGATGGGGCGGGCTTTGGACCATACCATTCTGCTTCAGGAATACGAGAAGATTCGATGGCCTCTGAGGGCCTACACAGAATATTTTTATTAAAAGGTGCGTTTTAAAGGGTATTATCGTATTCTGTCCTCAGCGGAAGGGTTCCGAAGGTCATAAACATTTGTTAGCTAAAGCAAAAATGGTTTATTCCTAAAAAGTAGTCCCTACAGTGTAAAAGAGGATTAAATCCTATAAAGAGAGATGTTGGCCTATGGCTAATAACTCTCGATTCTTCAGATTACAGGAATGGCTGCAAGGTGTGTGTGGTTAATGCCTGGGACTGACATTTGCGGAAGGATATCGTGAACGTATTTTGAAAAAAACGAAAAGCGTATGAAGAAGTAAACAAATGAAGAATAAAAAGTGCCGCCTTAAAGGGACAGTGTGACTGCATTAGTGCAGCAAGCCCGGACTAGGCCTTGAAGGATGAGAAGGCAGGTTCGAGGCCCGGGTGATTTCCACCCTCGGATTGGCCTTGGGACCGCTGGACGAAAGTGGCCGAGCCCCAGTCCAGGCCTAGTCTTTCAGGGCCACGGCCGCCCCAGGACCAGTGCAAAACGGTGGGCCGGTGGGCCGTGACCGAGCCTCTCGCCCGGGTGGGGATCCGGAAAGCGCGGGGTGTGCACCTGGGGCTCCTAGGAGACCCGGGGTGGGAAGGCCTCGCCCCCGGGCCTCAGCTTCTGTCGAAGAAAATGGCCTCCTGGGGCCGACCGGGAACCTTTCCTGAGCTCAGACAAGGCAGTCCGGGCCAGATGATGGACCTCTTTGTGGGGAGGTGGGGGAGAAGGTTCAAAATTAATTCTGAGTTTAAATAATCAACCAGTCTCTCCATCCATAGAGGCTCTTCTCATCAGTGGGCGCTGGGCAGCACCGGGAGGGAACGGAGCCAAAGAAAGAGAAGGTCTTGCCCAGAAATGGGGGCAGGGGGATGCTGGCCCAGGACTTTGGGGGTAGACTCATGGGGGAGGGAAGGTGACACAGTCTCCTTGAGAAAATTCTCCAGATTCCAAGCTCCAGCCCAGAGGACAGGGCCGTGGAGTAGCCTAAACTCTCCGCTGTAATCATTTAGGCCAAAAATCTCAGTGTAGTAACAGCCTCTCCCTCTTACCACACACCCGTGACCCATTCTTATTTCTTTCTTAATAGCAACATCTTACATCCTGGCCTCTTTCTAACATATAACACTTTTTTACACACAATCATTTGACCCCACCACAGCCCAGTGAGTTAGGGTAGGAATGATTGTCTCCATTTTAGAGATAAGAAATCTCTGAGACTCCGAGAAATGAAGTGACTTGTCCAAGGTCACATGACAACTAAGTGGCAATTCTTGCTAGAACGAAGGTCTTTTGGACCCTCGTGTCATTTTTCTTTCACAAACAAAATTCTCTTTTTTCTCAGGAACTTTGGATTTAGTTCCTTTCTATTTCCAACAGCTTCAGCCTAATTAAAGCCCTCGTTTCTTCATTTAGTAAACATTTATTAGGAAGGAACAATGATGAATAAAATGTCATCCTTGCACATGGACAGTGTGGAGAGGCCATTAAACCACTGTGAGTCAAAACGACAAATGAAGAAAATCCTGGCAAGGAGCTTGTGAGCCAAGCTGCTCAGGAGTTGGGAATTAGGGACAGGATTCGTGGGGGACATGTCTTCCTGGCTCTCTCGGAAGGATGAAGGGTTTTTAGGCCCAGTAGCATGAAGAAGGACGTCCTATAAAGAGCAAGCGTCATGTCCAAAGAAAGGACTTGTCTGGGAACTCAGGAATGGTTCCATGGGGAGGTGGTGATGGGTATCCCCCAAGGGAGAAGCAAGCAAGAGTGCCTCTGGGGCACATCCACCTGTTTTGAAATTGACCACTCCAGTCCCTGAGCTTCCGAGAAAAGCCTGCCCTTCTTTGTGCTCCTTCATCAGTCATGCAGGAGACTCCTGTGAGCAAGAGCTCCCCCTCACACCGACAGCTCCCTGAGGAAAAGAGGTTTTGCAGAGAACTTGAATGGGAGTCAGAGATCTCTTTATTGTTACCACATTTTCAGACTCCAGAGGACTCCTGGGTACCCTCATTCAGGGGGATTGAAAGGTAACAGCTGAGCCCAGCCACCCTTAGTTTATTGGACAGGGCTCATTTGTCATGTGTGGGGAGCGGAGGGCAGAATGATAGGTTGTGGAATTCTAGAATTCTGTCAAACAAGAGGCCAGGCACCTTGATATTAGCTGAGTTTTAACCCATTGCCAGGCATTTTACATGTCCTGGGCATTTAAAACCCAGGACTGGGAACGCCTGGGTGGCTCAGTTGGTTAAGCGTCTGCGTTCGGCTCAGGTCACGATCCCGGGGTCCTGGGATGGAGTCCTGCATGGGGCTCCCTGCTCTGCATGGAGCCTGCTTCTCCCTTTGCCTCTACCTGCTGCTCCCCCTGCTTGTGCTCTCTCACAAATAAATAAAATCTTAAAAAACAATACCCAAAACCCCAGGACTGCCTTATAATGAGATCTTCATCCTCATTTTACAAACAAGGCAACCCAGGTTCAGAGCAGTTACGAAGCTTGCCCAAGTCCCACACCTAGTTGTGTGCCCATTCCTGCATCCCCAGCACTGCTTTGGTCCCACCCCTGCTGGGGTCCAGCTTTAGCACAAGGGTTTATTCAGTCTCTGCCTGTGCCCCTGGGCTGGATCAGAGAGCACCAGGGCCTGTGTGTCTGCCCTGAGGGACGCCCTCCCCACCTTGAGAGAAGGACTGACGGAGTGACTTGAGGCTTCCAGTGGGTCGAATGATAGCCAGCCTCGGGTAGTGGTCAAGGCCCGGAGCGGATAGAGGGAACTCAGGAGTTTAAGGGTCTCCAAGAAGGGGCCTTCAGAACTGCCTCTTCCTCACCGAGGGCAGGAAGGTCCTGGGACCCAGGGGGTGGCAGCTGCAGGGGCTCAAGGCTGCTGTGGCCCTCCGCAGTTGGGGCTCCTGGCCAGTGGCCTCTCACGCGCTAAAACTAGGAGGCGCTCAGAGTGGCGAGTTCCCCACCGAATACGGGCCACTGCTGGAACCAGAGGGGCCCGAGGCGAAGGGGGAGGGGACGCGACAGGGTTGTCGCAGACCAGCGAGAGACCAAGGCCGCCAGGCGGTGGGAAAAAGAAGTTCGGAGTCCGAGCAGCCGGCGGCACCCGCAGCTCTGTGCCCACGCGGGCGCTCTGCCCACCCCGACGGGGGCTCCCCGCGCCCGGCCCCGCCCCCACTCCTCAGGGCGGGGCGGGGACTAGGCTCCCGCTGGGTCTTGGCCTTCCAGAAAGTTCCCTGGGAAAGCCCGAGCGCGGAGGTCACGCCAGCTGTGGAGGGGGAAGCGGGCGGTGGGCACTTCCGGGGCCCCATCCCTGCGGCCCGCGCTCGACACAACGAGCAGCCGCCTTTCTCTCCGCGCTGGGACCCGGCCTCCGCCCGGGCCCCGCGGGCTTCCTCTCCTCCCCCCCTCCCCCACCCAACGCCAGCTCGCCGGGCCTCCCCTCCGACGGGGCGGGGGGGCGGGGCCCAGGGCTGTGGCCGGCAGGTGTGGGCTGCCCAGCTTCCAGAGTGACTGTGCCTGAGAGGCTGTCCTCCCCAGCACTTACGGTTAGTCTGTGTCTGCGGGGGGGTGGGGGGGCCTTAAGGATTTCCCACACCAACAAACAGTTCTCAACACCAGCTGAGAGTCTTACAATTTAACTCAATTCAGACACTGTCTACCTAGTGACAGCATCATATTCCATAGGGTGAGGGCTTAGGCCCACAAAACTGCTCTCCTCCACAACCTTCCGAGACTCTTCCCAACTCCGCCTCACCTCCACCCATTTCAGATGGCAGTCTCAAGCCCACATTCTTACCTATGTTTCTGACCAACTGGCTATAAATCACAGGTTTCCCACAACCCCTTCCTTCGGTTTAATTTGCTAGAGAAGCTCACAGAACCCAGGAAACCTAATTACTTACTTGATCACTGGTTTGTGATAAAAGGATATAACTCAGCTATAGCCAGATAGAAGAGAAGTATAGGGTGAAGTATAAGGAAAGCACAGGGAGCTTCCATGCCCTCTCCAGGACCTCCACCAACTTGGAAGCACTCTGAACCATCTCCTTGTGGGTTGTTATGGAGACCATTAAAGGAGCATGATTGATTAAATCATTGGCCATTGGTGATGATTCAACCTTTCGCCCTCTTCCTTTCCTGTAAATGAGGGGGTGG